TCTGGCGAAACCTGGGCTGAACGGAGGTCTTGTCTTGGGCCTGTTCAGCATACTTCATTGTTAAGTGAGGTCTCTGCACTCCTGGACCACATGCCGCAGCGTGTGGGCACTGCTGGAACTTGCCTTCAGGGAGTGAAACAAGGCTGGGAAATTGAGAGGCCCTGTGAAGGCCACAGGGATCTTGGTCAGGTGACAGCCAGCGGCATCTGAGTGGGGTCTTTCCATAACTGAGGTGTTCTGGGTGGTTGAGTGACCTCCTTCTTTCTGTAATGGGAAAGGTGAGATTCCTGTCATCCCACTCAGACCTTGTTAAAACATTTCACTATTAAATCCAAGGCTAGGAGCCCCTAAAACCTTTAACCCTTAAATTAATATAGCCAAGTAAGAAGTAGATTAAAAAAACAAGTCTAGGAAGCTGTATGCATGTTGACGTGTGTAATGTTATCTGTAGTGTTGATCCCAGCTGTGGGTAATAGATTGCTCTTTCCTTCCTCCAAAGGTACAGACTTTTTTTTCTGTTAATTCTCACCTGAGGATATTTTTTCCATCGATTTTGAGAGAGAGTGGAAGGGAGAGAGGAAGGGAGAGGATGAGAGAGAGAGAGAGAAAGAAAGATAGGGAGAGAGAAACATGGATGTGAGAGACTCATCGATTGGTGGCCTCCCGCACTCGGCTCAGCTAGGGTCAGGGATGGACCCTGCAACTCAGGTATGTGCCCTTGACACGTGACCCTCCTGTGTGCAGGCCAGTGCTCTAACCACTGAGCAACACCTGCCAAAGATACAAACTTGATCACCACCAAATGCTAGTCGTATATATGCTTTGGAGTCCTTTTGGATTTCTTTATGGATTGAAGCCAACGCAGCAAACCAGTAGCTGTGGCTTATCTGAGACAAGGCCAAAGTAGCTCTTTGTTCATTAGAAGTCAGAGCGTCTGTGTCACCATGCTGGCAGTCTACAGGCAGGTGGTTGCAGTGGACTAGAGATGGGCACAGGCTCACAGCCCTGTTCAGCTGCTCGGCAGCACCAGTGCAGTTGGCCTTCTAAAGCGTTTCTGTCCACAGGGTAATGGCGGCTCAGGCTCCGTCACCAGTAGATTGAGCTCCATGCCACGGTGCTTCATCCGTGTGTGCTGTGTGCCCAGAGTTCTTCCACCTTTGCCCATTTGCCCCACACCTGCTTTTTCTGCTCAGGATGGGCCAAGTCACCTCTGCTCAGGTCATCTGAAGCTGAAGCAAGTGCTGACCTGTGGTTATGCTCTCAGCTGCCCATTTCTCTCGCCCTTTCTCCTCAGTTCCACGAGTTGTGGCGGTGTCCCCACAGATGCGCCTCGTGGAAGACAACCCCTCTTCTCTTTCCCTTGTGGAGATCTACAAGCAGCGCTGTGCCAAGAAGGGCATCGAGCATGACAACCCCATCTCGCGGTACTACGACAGACTGGCCACTGTGCAGGCGCGCGGCACACAAGCCAGTCACCAGGTACTGAATCGGGACAGTCAGGAGTTCGAGCTGCTGCCCGAGGCCTCAGCAGCGGCTGCTTCCTGTGGTGGTGCTTTCGTGACATGTGTGCTCAGAAAAGTAGTGTGTGTGAGTGTGTGTGAGAGAGAGAGGAGGGGAGAGGAGAGTGGGGTGTGTGTGTGTGAGAGTGGTGAGCATTGTGTGTGTGTGGGG